TGTGGTAATTCGTGCACTGTTTCTCACAGCCAGGGCTTGAGTGAAGTGGCTGTGCCTCATGCTGAGGCCCGAAGGGGGCATGCGGGGAGTAAATGGGGCTTTTTCTCTTTGGTGTCCAGTGCGCTAAAACTACCCTTCACTCCAAGGAAGACCGGTAGGTAGGCGTCTGGACTGAAGAAGGAAAAGAAGAGTCTGTCCTCGTACCTGTCCCTGCTGCTGTCTCGGAGAAATGGTTTCCCATTGACCCATTTCCTCTATCTCATTTCTCACTTCCTTCCGAAAAGAGGGCTTCAGCCATTACCACCACGACCTGTCTTACTGAACTACCACCTGACAAAACCCAAGTGATACTTTAAAGGCTTTGATTCATTTACCCAGGGTGTATGTATGTACACAGTACTGGCCATCCTCTTCATCCTGAAACATCTCCTTTGTCTTCTGGGACGCAATAAGCTTCTGCCCTCCTCTTTTTCTCTCCTATGTCCCCTTCGCAAGATCTTCTAAACTTGAGGCCTTGAAGAACTGCCATAGATGAACTTAAGCCTAGAAAGACAACTCAGTGGTTATTTCTGTGAAGTTTCGTGCCCTCGATCACGTTCTTTGAAAGCTAGCAGTAGAATATAACAGGCCCAGTTCTTTGTTTTTAGTTTTATTTTTTTATATGTGTGTGTAAGTATACACCGTGTGTGTGTGTGTGTGTGTGAGAGAGAGAGAGAAGAAAGAAAGAGAGAGAGAGAAAAAAGGAGAGAGAGAGAGAGAGAGAGAGAGAGAGAGAGAGCACGTGCCACAGAAGATGGTGTGGGACCTCTCACCCCCCAGAGCTGGAGTTATAGGTGGTTGTGGACCTAGGAACCCAGCTTTGATCATCTGGAAAAGCAACAAAAGCTCTTAACAGCTGATCCATTTTCCAACCCCCAAGACCTGTGTTTTCAAGTGAATTATTTTTTCTTGTACAAGCCCAACTCTTATACCATAAAGTTCATTTATTTTTTAAAAGAGTACTGCTTTACTTGTATTTTATGATGTTACTTATTTCATATATATATTTTTATACAATGTATGTTTCTAAGTGCTAAAAGTATAAATATAACCTGCTCTCCTAGAGACTCAACATCTAGTACACTCTAGAATTAAATGCATCTGAAGTGATGTAATAAATATGTGACCAAACATCATAAAATATGTATTTGTACTGCATTATTTCATTGACTAAATTCATAAATTAACAATAAAACAAATCCTATTAATAAAACTTTAGAAAATGTAAGTACTGTGCATTTATAATTGTTAAAGACCAGTTTTCTTTAAAAGATAATTGTAAGAAACAACACATAGTGGAAATTACATCAGAGATAAATATGTAACAATAATGCAAAGGATATAAAAGAGAAATGGATATATATGGCTAAAACTTTGCATTATATGTGATAAACATTTTTTAAATATATATAAGCCAGGTGTGTTGGCAGTTCACAACCATCTGTAACTCCAGCTCCAGAGGATTTTACACTTTCTTCTGGCCTCCTCAGATACCAGGCACATACATGGTGCATAGACATACATGCAAGCAAAACACCCATACATATATATTTTCAGATCATGATGACCAACCACATAATGGTACATAAAACAAGTGAGCACATTTTAAATGATTAACTTACACAGAGTATGCTCTCTGACTCCAGTAGAATTGGAAATGGATCACAAATAGAAATACCAAAATATGGGCAAATTAAACAATATTATTTTAATGACATAGTAAGAATTTGAAATCACAAAGGGATTTATAAAATATTTTGAAATCTTAAATGGAAAAGCCAACTCCACCTACTAAAGCAAATACATGAGAATAACTCCAGAATAACTTCCATGGAAACCCTAAAAGCCAGGAAAGCATGAAACAACAAATTTCAACCCTGAACATAAATAACAGCCAACCAAGATTTCAATAGCCAGCAAAGCTTTCTTTTGAACCACATAGTGAAATTAAGGACATTTAAAAACAGACATAGACTAGGACAAGTCATGACACCAAGCCAGCACTGCAGCATATTCTTAAAGGGATACTATACACTGAGACCCAGAGAAAGAAACCCTAATTACAATAGCACAAGAAAGAATAAATTTCATGATAAAATAATAAAATCACAGGAATTAGTAAATGCCCACCCCCACCACCACCGCTGAAACTGTTAAATAGTTGTGGCTCCAAAACACCAACAAATAGGTCCAGACTGGCTGACTGGATTTAAAGACTAGGACCAGCAAGACTTTCCAAGCCTGGTAACCTAAGTTCAATTCCCAGAACCCATGTAAAGATCTGACTCCACAAAGTTGTCCATTGGCCTCCACATCCATGTTACATAGCATGCACAAAAAATAATAGTAAAGATTTTTAAAACTAAATACTACTACCTCTTGTCTCCAAGAAGCACACCTACAGACTGAGAGTCAAAACAATAGACTACAATCTATCAAACAAATAAAAGCCAAAAACAAGCTAGTTGTAACTACTGTGATACCTGGTAAAATAGATTTAAAATAAGAAATGACCACTATATACTAATAAAAATGAATACCTATCAAGAAGACATAGCACATTTAAATATATATACTGAATGGTGGGGCTCCTAATGTCACAAAAACACACAATGAATATAAAAGGTCTGATAAGTCCTAATATAATAATAGTAGGTCACTTAAAAACCCCACTCTCATCTTTAAATAGGTCATTCAAACTTAAAAATCAAGAGAGAATCCAGTGTTAAACTATATCTTGGGTCAAATGGACCTAACAGATATCTACAGACTATTCAATCTGTCAGAAATGGAATACAGTCTCAGCATCCCATGGAACCTGCTCTAAAATATACCATCCTATGTCACAAAGTGAGTCTTAACAAATACAAAATTATTTATGGATCTTCTAAGATCATAATGGAATAAAACTAGAAATCAGTAGCAACAGAAAACATAGACTACTTGAATAGTTGGGAGACTGAACAATACATCCTTGAGTGATCAGTGGATCACTGAAGAAATCAGGAAGGAAAATTTTAAATTCCTAGAATCAAATGGAAATAAAACCACAACTTACCAGAACCTCTGTGATACACCTAAGGTAGTTCTAAGAAGTTTTTAGCTATGAGTGAATACATTTTTAAGAGTCAGATCTCAAGTAAATAACCTAATGATGTAATGTAAAGTCTTAGAAAAATAAGAACAAGCCAAACTCAAAAGTAATGGATGGAAATAAATAGTAAAGGTCCAAGCAGAAACCAATTAAATGGAGGTTAAAAAAATAATAATCAACAAAAACTTTGTTCTCCGAATAAAATGCAAGATTTTGTCAAAACTCCAGGCAAACTAGTCAAAAGAAATAAGAAGCCCAAATTAATAAAATTGCAGATGGAAAAATGGAGGTTATAACAGATTCCCGTGAAATCCAGAGTATCACTGGGAAGTGTTTTTGAAATTATTTTATTCAAAAAAAACTGGAAAATCTAGAAGAAATTTATAGCTTCCTAGACACATGTCCTACCAAAATTAAATGAAGATGTGAAGAATGTAAGCAGATCCATATTAAGCAATGAGTCTGAAGTAGTAGTAAGAGTCTTCCCACCATGAAAAGTCTGAAACCACACAGATTGACTATCAAGTCCCATCAAACCTTTACGGGAGAACTAACACTTACGTCCCTCAAACTGTTCCACAAAATAGAGAAGAAACATTTCTAAGCCTGTTCTGCACAGCTACTAAAGTCTTGGTATCAAAACTGGACAAAGACACGACAAAAAAATATCAATTTTTCTCAGAAACACAAATCCAAAACTTCCCAGTAAACCTCATAAAGATAGTTATCAAGAACACATTGAGATAGCCATTCACTATGATGAAGTTGGTTTCATCCCAGGAATGTAAGTCGTTCAACATACACAAATTAATGTAGTTCTAAGTTTAATTAGATATAGGGCAGAAGTTACATGATCATTACAATGGATACAGAAATGGACACTCCAGCCAGAACAACAGGTAGACAAATGCAGGCAGACTCACTGCTGAACCAGAGGCCTTAGAGCCCCCAGGACTTCAGCCCCCAACTTGTGGGAAGACTCCCTGCTGGACTAGAGGCTATGCCAATCACCACCAGAACTCGAGATAGGCCACCTCCCCTTAGACTTTCTCTACTCTGTCAGTTTGCCCCCCCATCCCCTACTCACTGTTTTATCCCACCCCTCAACTCAGGCAAGGATTCCCTGCTGGACCAGAGGCTACCATAGCCTCCAAAACCCAAGGTAGGTGCCTCCACATAGATCTTCTCCTGTCCCTTAGTACTCCCCCACAACCACACTGCTGCCCCCCAACATTATCCCCAATTCCTCCTCCCCTTGCCACAGCAGCCCCCAACTAGGGTGGAGATGCACAACTCAACAAGAAGCCACACTGGCCACCAGAAGTCCATCCCCCCAAATTCAAGCAGAGAACCCCTGGTCAAGTACAGGCCACACAAATCAGAGGACCAGAGAGGAGACAGAAACCAAGAAACAAAACACTCACCCAACAAAGACAAACTCAGAAATCATCATCTAGACCTCTATAATCATCCCAAGCCCATCACCTAGATCCAGGATAAGAACACAACAACAGCCAGGGTAATATATCAACACCAGAGGCCAGCTATCCTAGTACAGAAAGCCCTGGATATTCTAACATAGTTAGAGCATAAGAAAAAGACCTTAAAACAAACCTTTTAAAGGTG